CTGAAGGGTCCTGGATTCGATTCCGGCCAAGGGCGTGTACCTCGGTTGCAGGCTTGATCCCTGGTCCTGGTTAGGGCACGGGTGGGAGCAACCAATCAATGTGTCTCTCTCACATCGATGTTTGTCTCTCTGTCTCTCTCCCCTCCCCTTATACTCTCTCTAAAAATCAATGAAAAAATATCCTCGGGTGAGGATTAACAACAACAAATTATAAAAAAGTGCCTTGCACAGAAGTTAAATTATATTTGAGTGCCTCACTCCCTGATAGGAGTACATAACCCTAATGCCTATCAACATTCAGCAAATACAATAACCTGGATCCCATACCAAACAAACACAAATTTAAAAATCCTTGAAAAGTACTAATCTGCTCACTGGAGCCCAGAGTTCTAATTACTAATAATTAGGGTACAGTATTAAGGGACTGATTAATTTTTTTCTATAATATACTGCTGCTGACGTGATCTTGAGGGGTAACCATAATGAAACCACACTAAAGTCAAAAAGCATCAAGACCCATCACCTATGGGGGAGGCAGAGCAATTCCACAGCCCCTCCCACAGCGGGCAAGAGGGCATGAGAGCCACGGCCTATTCCAACCAGCTCAGCTCTCGTCCCAATGAGTGAAAGATCTACTGGGATCATTCCAAAAGTTTGGTTTGCATTTGGCCTTGACAGCCCGAGAAAACCTGAGCGTCTCAGGGAAAGTAACACCTCTATCTGAAACCCACAAGTTGGGGATGAAAAGGAAAGAAAGTCTCTAAGTGCTTGAATTCCACCACCCCTCCCCACCCCCAGGGAGAAAGTATTTCAGACGGAACTGTTAACTGGCAGCTGCCCCCGTCAGTATCACCTAAACAGGTTTCCAGAGCAGGAATCTAATAACCACTTATTTGGCAGCCACTAATTTACCCTTCATTTCAAAGCGGCCTTTTTATCTAGGTGTAAAAGAATGAAACGGCCTAAAAAATTTTTTTTTGCAGCAGATGGAAATGCATTCATTACTCTCCATTATACTTTTCAGCTGGCAATAACTGTGGTTGTAAAGAAAAGAGAAAGAGAGTTTGGGTGCTTTTAATCAAAGCTTGGATTCTAGCCCTGCCCTGCAGCAGCCTGTAATATGAGGAAAGTTCCTGCTTCGAATTCCAAAAGAAATGAATTTTTATGTGAGTAGCCCCCTCCGTCCGCCGCCACCTCTCTGTTATTGCTGTGATCCACGCAGCAAATGTCACAAGCATCGACTACTTTAGATGCAACGTTAATTCTGGTACCTTGGAAAAACATTCATTGATACACTGATCGCATTTCATAAAAGTTTAAAGTGCAACAAATGGACCATAAAACACTTCTGGAACAACTGCATGCGGTGGGCATTATTGTGCTTATTTTGCAGGTAAGGAAGTAAACTCAGATCATGCCAAAAACCTGGCAACCTTCTAAAGGTTCATTTACCTCCTACACCAGTGATGGCGAACCTTTTGAGCTCGGCGTGTCAGCATTTTGAAAAACCCTAACTTAACTCTGGTGCCGTGTCACATATAGAAATTTTTGATATTTGCCACCATAGTAAAACAAAGACTTATATTTTTGATGTTTATTTTATATATTTAAATGCCATTTAACAAAGAAAAATCAACCAAAAAAATGAGTTCGCGTGTCACCTCTGACACGTGTGTCATAGGTTCACCATCACTGTCCTGCACTGTTTTCTCAGCGCCCCACAGAATCCTAGAGTCCCCTCTAGATTTCCCGAATCGGGCCTGTGCTTACTGGGAGTACTTGGGTTCCAACACAGCAGGTTCCCTTCTTCTCAACTCCTCCAGCAAGCAAGCTCTCTCAGTCCCCCGTCTCGGTCCATGCATTCTCTCTACTTACGTTCCTTTGGAATATCCCCTGTGAATCATCCCATGGCTCGCTTGTTCTGACATGTAAGATCTCTTCAAGCCCCCTGGGTACCACATGTCACCATGTGCCCTCAATAGGATATGCTGTCCACTTGGAAATACCTATGACATACCCACTTCTCTCTGCCCCCTCCCCCCCCCCCCGTCACTGAATGGCCTGAATACACCTCCATTCTCTTAACTATCAATTCATACTTGATCCCTTCAGTAGAAACTCAAAATGACCCTCTCTTCAGAAAGCCTGCCCTTGACTCGCTTCACGTAACTGTAGTCCCTCTTGTAGCAGAAGGCCCACTGGCTCCGAACCCAGATCTGGCTTCCACTCCTGATCCTTCCACTCGCTGGCATTACCTGAGCAAATGACTCCACCTTCTGGGACCAGTTTCTCCACCATAAACGATGGGCATGAGACCGCCTAAGCTGAAAACTAACCCCCAGCTCTAAGAATGTTTTATGCAAAAAGATTAGCAAGAGCATTAATTTATAAGAACAAAAATTATTATACCATTTTAAAATGACCCAAGGCATCTTAAGTTAAAAAAAATAATGTATGACAGATAAAAAAGAAAAAAACTTTTTAAGTTTCAAAGGGTGACAAGGTTCATTAAATTGTCCGTTTTCTACTCTTTGATACATGAATGAAAAACCCAGGTAATCCCTTAAAGATGATGAATACAGATACTCTCCTATTTGCTAATCTCTATGCAATATTTTATATATATTTGGTATATATTTAATATACCAAATGTGTTTTAAATACTAACGGTGGATAGTCTTATGTGTTGACTTGGCTAGGTTATAATACCCAGTTATTTAATCAAACATTAATCTAGGGTTGCAGTAAAGGTATTTTGTGGTTAATGTACAATAAGTTGACTTTAAGTAAAGATTACCCTTGAATGTGTGTGTGTGTGTGTGTGTGTGTGTGTGTATGGGGGGTGGGGGGGAGCACTCATTTAATGAGTTGTAGACCAAAAGAGCAAAATCCAAGATTTCTCATAGAAGGAATTCTACCTCAAGACTGCAGCAAAACCCTTGCCTGACCTTCCAGCCTGCTGGCCTGCCCTGCAATTGATGGGTTTGCCAATCCCTACGATTTCATGAGCCAATTTCTTAAAATCACACTGTGGTTCCATTCAACTGAGACCTGACTGGTGTGGCTCAGCCGGTTGAGCATCATCCCATGTACCAAAAAAGTTGTTAGTTCGATTCCTGGTCAGGGCACATGTCCGGGTTATAGCTCGATCCCCAGTAGGGGGCATGCAGGAGGCAGTCTATTGATGTTTTGCTCTCACATCGATGTTTCTCTCGCTCTAAAAATCAATTAAAAATCTCTTTTTAAAAAGTATTAGTGATACCAGTTAACTGTAAACTTTTTTTGTAAAGGGCTGGTCGTATCTCAGCTTTGTGGGCAAGGGACTGCTGTGCTGGATGGCACAGTTCTAGACGATCAGAGCTGAAAGGGGCCCTGGGGGCCATTAGTGAGCCATGCTTAGCCTAGGAAAAGACTTCTCACGGCTAGGAATTAAGAAGCAGCTGCAGAGAGGAATACTACTGCCATGGCAATGGGGGAAATCACAACACTGGTAGAATCCAATCCTTTTCACAGGCAGTTGCTGAGACTAAGGGGCCAAACACCTCATCCAATCACATGGCCCATTAGCAGCATAGCAATTTCTAGAACCCAGGTATCCCAGCACTCCGTTTAGGGCTCCTTCTATTCCTCTACTAGGATGGTGCTAACGGAATGAAAACCCAGTGCCTGCAGGTCTCACTTCCCATTCACTAGCCAAGAAACACAGCATTCATCTCACCAACTAACAGACTCTTTCTTCTCAGCTAGACTTCGCTACTGGCAATTGTAACTTTAAAAAGATGGAGATGAAGAACTAAGATTTGAACCAAGGCTTTAAAAATGCGTCTATCAGTTTGGGTTTTAAAGGTCTGACATTGGCTAAAAATGGAAATAACCTCTGCATACAATCTATGTCTGTCTATATATAATCTATACATAATTATACATCTATATAATAACAACAATGGACTAAGGCCATTGGCAAGCCTAGTTTCCAAGAACATTAATGATCGTTTTCCCTCTATAGGTCTTTCTTTTTATTTTTTTACTTTTTTATAGTTCTTGGCAGTTTTTAAAAGTCTTTAGAGTATGGATGAGAGTTCATACACAGTTCAAAGGCTAAACTCCAAAGCAAAATCATAAACATAAGAAATGGCGGGTCCCAGATACTTTCTTTCAAGCAAGTTTTCAACTATTCTACACATGAGTGTGACATTTCATCGTGAGGGCTAGGAGGGAGGCAGGTAGGTTAGAACGTAAGTCCAATGATTTGTGTTTTTCTGTTCTTCAGAGACATGCATGCAAAAGTGAGTGGTAGGGAGCGGAAAACCCACTACAAACATGGGGAAAGCCTGTAATTCTTGGGTCTCCCAGGGAGTGAGGGCACCAGGTCCAGAGAACCATCACTGATCACCCTTTTCTGCAGAAAACTCTGTATAGAAGAATCTGGAGATGATCTGCCGGTAAGCCCTACAAGGAGCATTAAGCCTGACAAAAAGCATTAGCAACTTAGCTACAATCAATCCAAAGGCAGCCCTGACTCAACACAAGCTTTAAGAATTTATAAGAAACTCAAGCACAGATATTTTTTTCAAGAGTTTATAAGCTACAGCTAATAATACTGTACACATCTGAAATCCGGAAGAGAGTAGATCCTAAGTATTCTCACCACACAAAAAGAAATAAAATGGTAACAACGTGAGGTTACCATCTGTTGATTAGCTTGATTGTGGTAATCATTTCAAAATTTATATGTATACCAAATCATTACATTCTATACCTTAAATATATACAATTTTTATTTGTCAGTTATACCTCCAAAAGCTGGGGGGAAAGAATGTATAAGTTAGCAAGACACCATGGCACCAATAAACAGAAAATGTTTGTGTTTTTTATGTGAATCGGTGCAAGTCAGAGGACCAAATCAGATCTAAAAAGTAGCTGTACCAATACAGTAATTTAAAAAATAATCAAGTTTAACACTTGAAATATGAAACTCTGGGAAGAAGCCAAACAATCACCTGGTATCATTCTCCACCAATGGCAACGCTACGGCTCTCCCTGGCTCTCTTGCCCAGTTTGTGGCAAACAATTCACTTACCATCTACTTGAAGCTAAGAGAGCCTTTGTAATCACAGTGAAGACACTGTATGATGTAGATTAGGAAATGCGTATTAATTGCAGCCAATAAAACATAAATACAATGTAGACGATAATTATAATTATCTCCGGTAATGATTAAAAAAAAAAACAAGCCCATTAAGGAAAACTAAACGTGTCCACGTGTATATAACAACAAATCTTGGGCTACCAATGTATCTTTTTTAAATACTGCCCATGGCAAAGAGATGTATTTCCTTGTAGCAGAAATAAAAAGCAACAGTAAGTTCTTAGTAGTTTAGTCATTGCACCCTAATCTAAAACTAAACCCAACAGGATAACTTTTAGTATTCTGTGTGAGAGAGTCAGGCAGAAGAACAACGAACTGTTAACTGCAAACGGTTTGACAGCTGGGTCTCCCATGCAATTAGCACCCTAATTCTACATGCACTTAAAAGTTCATTTCCACAACAAAGGAGACCAGACAGCCCACACGCTCTGCAGGGCAGACAAGACTCCAGAGGAGAGCTCTGGTGGGCTTGCTGGGATGAAACGACTTGCAAGAGCTTATCTGTCTGACAAAGACACGCAGCTTCGGTTGGCACCTGAATGAAGGAGGGTGCCAGCTTCCCAAGGAATGCAAACTATTTTCCTGAAACACACACACACGCACACACACACACACACACACACACACGCACACACGCACAGCATGAAAATGCAGCGATGCGAGCTCAGCCGCCGATACTCGGAGGTGCCCGGCCGTCTTTCCGACCCGTTAGGTCGGCCGTCCCTCCGGTGCGCGCCCCGCGCAGGGGCGGAACCCTCCTCTCCATCCCGCCCCTGCGAGCCCACCTGGGCCACCGCGCGCCGCCCTCGCGGTCACCGAGTCCGGGACACTCCCCCACGCGGGACGCTGTCCCCCCAGCCGCATCCCCGCCCGGTCACCGCACTCCCGCCCCCCGAATCCCCGCCCGGTCTCAGTCGGGGGGGAAATGCAAGGGGTAGCGTCCCAGAGATTGAGAACCGCTGCTGTGGCGGAAGATGAGACGAAAGGGGACAGGCGTGAGTGTGCTCCCGTGAGCGAGAGCGCTGGCTGGGTCCTTTGTCTTGAGCGTGAGGAAGGCTGGCAGTTTAGGAGACCACCTCGATAGAATACTCATCAAGGTTTCTAGCTGTGCCCCTTCCAGGGATTGTGGTCACTAGTGATTGGTCAGGGCCCAGGGCAAGGAAGTCATTAGTAACTGCAACCGGGTCCTGGGCATTGCTTGTCTTGTTTTTTCCTACATTTTTTGGCCCTCCGAGCTCAAATAACCACACCCCGCCCTAGATTATTGTGATTTACGATTGGAAATGTCATGGGGTCTACACCTACATGTTCCCAACGAATGGCCCCCGGGGCAGGAAATGCCACGCCTGCGATGAGAGGTCCCGGACACCACTCTTTGCCCGGATGGCAAGGGAACATGGGGGCATTAGGGCCCTGGAGGACTGGAATGATACACACACATTACACCAAACTTGGGAGGGTCGGCCCAAAGAGTTATACGTGAACCCAGGAAATTCCCTGAAGA